GCAGTTTTGCTTTGGGGCCACTGATGTGTCCACAGAAGCGTTGAATCCCATTAGAAGGTGCTTTCCTTTTAAGCTGAAGCCAGAAGTTAATTGCCCACCCCTAGGCACACTCACAGCTCCTTTGATCGGGTCAGAATGGAGGGGATTGCTACTAAACAGAAGGACCAACATAAACATGTCTATTGCCCAGTGGATCATCTACACGACCCTCCAGGGGAAACAAAGCCACCTCCCTCGAACCTCGGCAGCATTTTGTTTATTCTGCCTTGTATCCTTTAGCAGTTTGCATGCCTGTCCTTGCTACCAGACTACAGATATAGACTGTACATATATTGCTTATAGGCAAGATTTCAGCTTTGGAATCATGCTGTCACTAAGGTGCCAGTCCCTGATTTTGTAAACAGTAGGCACCAGGAAATGTTTCCCTCTGGAGATGACATTCCCTCTCTCTTTGTTCTAGACTCCTTACCCAAGTAAGCAAGTGCTGAATCTGGATGTCTCCCAGACTCAGCTGCTCCAGTCCTGTTTCAGGGTCACAGTCTCCAGAGCCCCCCAGTCCCAGTGTCCCTTCTGAATCACGGCAGCAGCAGCCCCCTGCACTGCCCCACCCAGCCCCCACCACTTCTTACACCTTGGTCAACAGCTCCCTAGGGCCCAGAAAATGATTCAGACTCCTTGGTCTTCTCCTCAGGACCCCCTGGCATGGCCCCCAGACCATCTCTCCAAGCTGATTGCTCCTCTCTAGCACTCTGCTTCACCCTTCCTGCTGCCCCTTCCCTGCCAGCCATTCACTTGCCCTTCCCCAAACTTGCTTTGTATCTTCCCAAGTTGCTTTGTTCACACTGAACTCTACTCTTGAGCTACTGTTGCTTATTGCGTGCTTACCAAGTGCCAAGTCCCGGGATTCGTGTTTACTAGAGGCAATATAAACTAAGCAGTTTGTTCTGGTGAGATAACACATCCCCTTAGACCTACTACCCTTTATGATCAATGTTCATTAGTTAATCATTTTCCCCCTAGAACTAAGTGATCTTTATTGGTGTATTGTCTCATGATCTATGGAAGAAAAGAATACCGTGTCAAAGAATAAGGAGGAGGTAGGGAGAATGCAGATGTCAAGACATGCCAAAAAGAAAATCTTGGTCATGATACAGCAGTTTTAGTAGGAATAAATTACTACACCCAAGTTTAACCACAGCACTATAAACATGTCCCACAAGTTTTAATGAATTTGATATAGTGGATAGTGCTTTCTTTCCTTTTCCCTGAGAGAATCTAAAACCAGGATGGAGTTCCTTTTAGCAGTCAAGAAAAATGAGTTATAGGTACAACTGGCTCTCCGTATCTGCGGGTTCTGCATCTACAGATTCAACTAACTGTGGATTGAAAATATTCAAATAAATAAATAATAACAATACAAGAATAAAAAATAATACAAATTAAAACAATAGAGCTGGGCATGGTGGCATACACCCGTAGTCCCAGCTACTCGGGAGGATGAGTGGAGGATCGCTTGTGCTCAGGAATTCAAGCCCAGCCTCCACAACATAGCAAGACCCCATCTCTAAAGCAAAATTTGCATTGTATTAATTATACACTTACAATGTATAATTTACATTGTATTAATTATACACTTACAATGTAAAATTTACATTGTATTAAGTAT